AGGAAGAAAGGAGGAAGGAAGGAAGGAAGGAAGAAGGAAGGAAAGAAAGGAAAGAAGAATAAAAGAAAGAAAAGAAAAAAGAAAAGAAAGAAAGAAAGAGAAAGAAAGAAAGAAAGAAAGAAAGAAAGAAAGAAAGAAAGAAAAGAGGGGGTATGGTGCTGCCAGCAGGTCAATCTGTACCTGTGAAGCGAGTGCATCAGCAGCCTGATGGTGCCTTCAGACTTCCAGACCCCAAAATTGCTGCTGTGCCTTCAGCCAGACCCCAAAAACTTGGGGCAAAGTTTACCAAGAAAGTAAGTGGCCAAACGTTAGGTATGTGGGAGACATACCCACAAACCACCTCCGGCTCAGCTATATAATTGGAGGCAAGGCCTCTCTGGTTCCTGATTGAACTGCTTAATGGCCATGATCCCAGAGACTCAGAAACAAATCTCGGAACCCAACAACTTTTGGCAGAAATGTGTCCAGTCCCTGCAGTAAGTTACCAGTGCCAGGCCACCCCAGGGGGGAAAGGGTGCTGTCCCTCCAACCTGCTCCCTCTTGGTGGCTCGGTGACTGCCATTCTCCAGAGGCCACTGGACAGTCAGGTTTGGACGTGCATTGATGAGACACGAGGGGCCTCACGGGATGGGGTGGAGCCGGCCCTTTCCTCCCTGCCCCAACGAGACTCTGAGTTGCTGCCCATGAACGGCCTCTCTGGCTCCTGATCAAGCTGCTTAACGGCCATGATCCCAGAGGCTCAGGAACAAATCTCAGAACCCAGCAGGTTTTAGCAGAAATCCCTCCAGATTTAATTGTTAAAATTTTGGAATTCCAAAATCGTGCAGTCACTACTGCGGCCACGTGACATCATATGTTATTCATAATCAGCAATAGAAAACAAATTGTCTACGGTTGACTTTTCTGCAGAGCTGAGTGTTGGGGTAAAATCCTAAATAATAATAGTAGGTCTGATGTCGAAATATTAAATGTAATCAAAGTCGAGAGAGAGAGAGAGAGTATTTTTGAAATCATCTGTTCCACAGGTAGGGGCAGGATGTGGGATGGGGGGTATACTGGGATTTTTGGTGGTGGAAAATGGGCACTGGTGAAGGGATGAGTGTTTCATCATTGTATGACTGAGACTTAAACCCCAAAGCTTTGTAACTGTCTCATGGTGAGTCAATAAATAAATTTATAAAAAGGAAAAAAAAAGTAAGGTGGAGTTCATGCCTAATTCAATCAGCCTAATCAATGCCTGAATAAATAGCAATACTCCTACATTTTTTAAAAAAAGAAAGAAAAGAAAGAAAGAAACCCATCATTGCATTTTTGGGTGTGTCCCACTGATAATGACATCATCATCATCAACTACATCTGCAAAGATGGGATTTCCAAGGAGGGTAACATTCAGGTCAGAGACAGAGTCAGCAGAAGAGCATTTGCCTTGCATGTGTGAGACCCTTTATGACTTTACATAAAAGCAAGGTAAAATTCTGAAATTCCAAGAGGATGTGATTTGGGTTGGAAGCCCTTCAATGTGCTACTGGTGGGTAATCACATTGAACATGTAGATAAAGGGGATGTATTCGTCATAACCAAATTGAACCTTCCAATCCATAAACATGGATTATGTGCCATTCATTTAGGCTTTCTTAATGTCTCCCAACAATGTTTTGTGGTTTTCATCACAACTATCTTTAACTCCCTTGGCTATATTTATTCCTAGATAACATTCATTTTCATCGAATTGTAAATGAAGTTGTTCCAAGTTTTTAATTGTTAATTGTTGTGTGTGTGATCAATTAGTTTTTCATGTTTGCCTTGTATTCCACTAGTTTCATGTCTTGGTTCCAAAATAATTGTTTTCCCAGCTAATAGAGATCATCTTACTTTGCAATTTGCCCATTGGATGCTTTTTAATTACTTTTCTTGCCTAATTGCTTTGGCTAAACTTCCTGTACAATGTTAAAATGGAAATGGATGAAATAGACATCATTGTCTTAGTCTTGATTTTTGTGGGGTGGGGGATCTCTCAGTCTCTCAACAATAAGTATGATATCAGTCATGAGTTTTATACAGATGCTCTTTATCATGACTAGGACGTTCCCTTTCATTCCAAGTTTCTTGGGTATTTTTTATCCTGAAAGACTGAGGTCTCATCAAATGCTGTTTCTGCATCACTTAAGACAATAGGGAATTTTTTCTTTCATTTTTATTAATCCATTATTTTACATTAATTGCTATTTGTATGTGAAACCAGTCTTGCATCTCTGGAATAAATCCCACTTGGTCATGAGTCCCCATTGCTGCTGAACTCAATTTGCTAATAATTTGTTGAGTATTTCTGTATCCATGTACATAATGGACAGTGGTCTACTGTTTCCTTGAAATATCTTTGTCTGGTTTTAGTAGCAGAGTAATGCTGATATCATAGAATGACCTAGAAAGTGTTGCCTCCTCTTCAGTTTTTGGATGATTTTGAGAACAATTTATGTTCATATTTTTCAAAGATAGAGATTGAATCCAGGGTCTCACATGTGTGAGACTTTCTTCCCAGTCTTGAAAACTAGACATTTTGGATACATTTTTAATTTGGTCACTCTGAAAACCAGATTCTTTTGGCCCCCTGGGACTTTGTTGTTCTTGTTTTCTGTGGGTTGTAGTTTTCTATTTAGTGACTTTCTAAAACTAGTTTTTGAATATTGCATTCTTTGTCTTGTATGGTCTCATTCCTTTAACTTGTGGTCAGCTAGTGTTTTGACAGAGATTTCCTTAAATAGCCAGAGAGGCAACGGAGTAGAAGAAGGACAATAAATGGAAAGAAAAGAAAAGGAAGAAAAGGAAAAGGAGAGAAGAGAAGAGGAGAGGAGACAGGAAGGGGAAAGGAGGAGAGAGGAGGAAAGGAGGGCCAAAGAGATAGTACATTGGGTAGGCCATCTGCCTTACACATGGCTGACCCAAGTTCAATCCTCAGCATCCCGTGTGGTCCCCTGAGCAGTGCCAAAAGTGATTCATGAGTGTAGAGCCAGGAGTAACAAAACAACCCCCCCAAAATAAGTATTAAAAAATAAAAGGAAAGAAAAAGAAAGAAAGGATAATGAAAGAAAGGGAAAGAAAATGAGGAAGAAGGAAAGAAAGGAGATGTGGGGGCAGAGAAACAGAACAGAGATTAAGGGGCTTGTCTTGCACATGGCCAATGGTGGTATGATCCCCGTCACTGCATATGGTCCCTTGAGCACTGCCAGAAGTGATCTTTGAGCACAGAGCCAGGAGCAATCCTTGAACATTGTAGGATTTGGTCCAACCCCATCCCAAGAATAAAGAAATGGAAGGAGATATGAAGAAAGAAAAGTAATTCTCAAAGGGGCCACAATATGGCTCAGTGGTAAAGCACTTTCCTGGCATGTGCCAGACCCTGAGTTTGATCCCTGGCATCACATTTTTTCCCCAAGCACTATCACGATTGACTTCTGACCAACAAACTTGGGTAGCTCCCAAGCACTGCTGGATGTGACCCCCAAACCAGAATAATAAAGTAAAAGAGAAACTCACAATTTTTGAAGATTGAGTGCGAGTAGGCCCTCTCACCAGTGCTTAGCCATTATAACTCTTCCTTAGTCCTCAGCATCTGCTTACACTGAGTCTAAATATCAACCAGAGTTAAAAGCCTAGACTCTTCTGAGCTTGCATCAGTCCCTGAAGATGGCCATGGATTTCTCAAGTTCCTCACTATACACTGGCTCCTGTCCAAGCCCTGATTTTCCAAAGAATTCTCTCCCAAACATTTGTTCTCAGGCTTTCCGTGTTATCTCCTGCTGATTCCAACAGTTATCAAGGACTTATTCTGCTATAAAATGTTGTCAAGAAGTTGGAGAGATAGTCCAGCAGGTAAGGCTTCTACTTCACCTGACCCAGGTTTGATCTCCAGCACTCCAAGTCCCACCTAGGGTGATCCCTGAGCACAGAGCCAGGAGGAAACACCCTGAGAACCACCAGGTGTGGCCCAAAAGCAAGTTTTCAAGGGGAGAGTGGAGAGTCAAAGTTCAAGAAATGAAATTTTTTGAATGTGTTCAAGGAGTGTCATCTGCTTAGCCATGTTCCCATTCTGATGTCAATGAAACACAAGAAAGCACGAAGAGTGTGTCCTTCAGGGAATTACAGGTCAAAGCTGAGTAACATGCTTCTTGGAGTAAGTCTGCATTTCTTCTAGAAGCAGAGAACAGGGTCTGGCCATGATTAATTAGGACACCAGGAGCTTTCTACCATGTCGAGTCACCTTTTTCTCAGTTAAACCTTGGCCAGGTTGGTTTAAACCTTTGGCTCTTTTTCCAAAGTCCTGACAAAGTTGATTTGAACAGGAGGCAATCACAGAAGCACTGGCATTTCAGATTATGAAAGATGGGGCAAGTTTGTTTTCCAAAATAAGGTCTCTGCAAAGCCCACTCCCAAGAGATTTTTGTCCAAATAGAAGGGGAAAAAATGTTGCTTTGCTCTTTGGGCTGTGTTTCAACTATGCGTGCTAGAAGATCTTGGAATCGGTATATATAGTTAAGCCATTGGTGCATAAGCCATTGTAAGCTATTTTGTAAGGACTCAGTTGTTTCCGATAAGCTCTTTCCTCAGTTTATCTGACTTCGAATGACTTGTAAGAAAAAGTGGCTCTCAGATACATTTTTAATACCCACAACAGTTTTCTTTGGAGGGTTTTTTCTTTTCTTTTTTGATGGACGCATACGCAGCCATGCTCAGGGGCTCTTGTTGGCTCTGTGCTCAGGAGTAATCCCTTGGCAGTACTCCAGGGATCGAACCACCAAGCACCTTACCTCTCATACTATCTCTCTGGACCCTGCTCATAATCTTTTGTTGTCTATGGACACCCCCCAGAGATGCTCAGGGATCACTCTTGACCTAAGGACCATAAATGGTGCCAGGGAAGGTTTGACCATATGCAAGGCAAGTGCCCTTCTTGCTGTATTATTACTGTGGCCCCATTCATAACTCTTCTCTCTTTCTTACAGAACAGCCTTCAACTGGACTAGCAACTGGTCAGCACCAGTCGTGTGGCATGACAATTACAATGAAGATGTGTTGAAAAAGTATTATGCGAATCATAAAGTAACTGTGGGGTTGACGGTGTTTGCTGTGGGCAGGTAGGTAATACCAAGTCTACTTTAAATTCAGGTTCCTGCTGCAGAAAATGGGGGCATACCAATAGTCAACTCCAAAAATCCAGAAAACAGAGAGCACAATAAAGCCATGGCTGGAAGCTTGGCACAAGTGGTAAGGGACAATTAGGATAGAGAAGGGACTGCTATGGCCTTTGGAAATAATCACTCTGGACAAGAAGTGAGTGCTGAAAGGAGGTAAAGGGATATTACACGATTACCTTTCAGTACCTATATTGCAAACCAAATGCCCCAGGTAGGGGAGAGAGGAGAGAGAGAGAAAGAGAGAGAGGGGAGGAGGGGAGGGAAGAGGGGAGGGGAGTGGAGGAGAGGGAAGAGGAGAGGAAGAAGAGGGAGAGGGAGAGGGAGAGGGAGAGGGAAAGGGAGAGGGAGAGGGAGAGGGAGAGGGAGGAGAGAGAAGAGCACTAGGTTTTAAGTAGAAGAGAATGAGGGTCCTAGAATTGCAGGTCACTTCTCAAGGTGATTGTGGGTGAAAACATGGAAAGTAAAGGAAAGAAGGCGATGGAAGTTCTTATGGAACTGAGGGTTCTCTGACATCTTCAAATGTCCACAGACACATAAATGGTTATTGCCCTCTGCCCATGCTCTTGTCTCTTACTTTACTAGCAATGCAACATTGTTAGTAAATACCTAGTAAAAAATGTATATTGCTAAGTTACATTGCTAAGCCTTTGATCACTTAATCACTTAATCACTTAACTTCCCGTTAGTCGGCGATTTGCTCGAGCGGGCGCCAGTAATGTCTCCATTTGTCCCTGTCGCATGCTAGTGTAGCCCAATGGCATCTCTTCGCTCCGGGAACATAAAGGGCCTCAAACCGATCGTTCATGATCTTGACGAAGAAGTCTGACCATCTGGTAGGTGGGCGGCCACGCGGTCTTTTGACATCCCGTGGAATCCAGTCAGTAACAGCTCTAGTCCAACGGTCGTCTTTAAATCTCATTACGTGACCAGCCCATCTGATTTTCGACACCTTGGCAAATGAGACAGCGTCCCTGATTCCTGATCGTCGACGGATGTCAGAACTCTGGATTCTTTCTCTCATTTGAGTGAAACGTGATATTCCAAGCATAGCTCTTTCTATTCTTTGGGAGACCTGAATAGCGTTCTCATCTTGTTTGCGTAGGGCCCAGGTCTCTGAGGCATATGTTAATGCAGGAAGAACAGTGGAATCAAAGAGATGTGCCCGGAGCCGGAGGTTCTTCGTCCTCTTAGCTATTTCTTCGACGTTCTTGAAGGCGTTCCAAGCCGCTCTCTTCCTCCTGCGCAGCTCGGGTGCCAGGTCATTTGTCATGTTGACCTCTCGACCTAGGTACACATAGCTGTTGCATTCGGAGATGGTCATTCCATTGAGAGCGAATGGGGCATCAGGAACGAGGCTGTTTCTCATAAACATTGTCTTCGTAAGATTCAGCTGTAGTCCTACCTTTCCACGCTCACGGTCAAAGTCGGCCAGCATTTGTGCCGCTTGGCTGATGTTTGGTGTTATTAAAACAATGTCATCAGCAAAGCGGAGGTGGTGTAGTTGTCGACCATCTATCTTCACTCCCATTCCTTCCCATTCCAGTTGTCGCATGATGTTCTCGAGGGTGGCACTGAAGAGTTTCGGTGAAATGGTATCACCCTGCCGCACCCCTCTCTTGACATCAACGATCACTTCTTTGTAGAATGGTGAGATCCTGGTAGTGAATCCGCAATACAGCTCACGGAGGATCCTGATGTATTGGGCTTGAATGCCCTGATTGGCTAGGGCTTCAGTGACCGCTTCCGTCTCAACAGAATCAAAGGCCTTCTTTAAATCAATGAACAAGCCTTTGATCAACTATTATAATTTTGATAGAAATATAGATTGTATTTAAATAAAAAATAGGCCAAAGCAAAAGGAAGAAAATAATAAAGAGGAGAAGCAACAAAAAAATCAACAGAGAAAATCAACGAAACAAAAGCTGGTTCTTTGAAAAATGAAAAAGAATGAAGTTCACAATGAACCAGAGAGGTAACTGAAATGACTACAAGCAAGGCAAGTGTCCTATCTCCTGGACTATCTCACTGACCCCTAAAAACTCATTTGTTTTTAAATGAACACCAATTAGACCCAATTTACTTCAGGGGGAAAAAGACAAAGTGAAATACACTTCCCAAATCCATTGTATAAACTCAGTGCCTACTTGATACCAAAAGTCACAGGAGGAAGTATGAAACAGGAGTAAAGCAACAGTAGCCATCTTATCCCTTAAAGTTTTAACATGTATCAACTTTAAAGCCATATGCTACTATTGATGGTAATTGATTCTTGTGTGATGCCAGAAAATCAAACCCAGGACCTCACACGTGCAGGGCAAGTGCTCTACCACTGAGCCACATCCCTTCCCCAATATTGTAGTCCTAGAAAAAAAAAGGAGGAATGGGGGAAGGCAAGAAAGAAAACAAAGGAGAGAAGAATGAAAGAGAGGATGGAGAGAAGGAAGGAAAGATTATTACGGTAAACCTTTCCTGTGTCCATCTTCTTCCTGAGACCCTCCCGCTGCTGCCTCAGAATGGGGTCAGAGTGACCCCAATGTCGGGACAGGCCTGGAGACAGTATTTCTCCCTCTCCCCCCTGCCACAGAACACACCCAGACCAGAGAGGGTCCTATCAGTGGAGACCACCAACACCAAAGCCTCATTAACTTCCCCATATACCCCCGCCCCTCACCCAACCCTGTGTGTGATAGAGTTGCTGGAAATCTCAGGTGCTGCTGTCATTGAGTCCTTCTACAAGCAGTAATACGGTAAAGCAATCAAATGAACTGAAAATAGAAGAGCAGGGGTATGTGAAGTGTTTTGATGCTAGTTTCTCGCTTGGAGGGGGAGGAACAAATAAACGAAAAGAAGTAAATGAAAAGTAAAACAGAAAGGGCAAAGTGCTAGATGCCATTTTCTGGCTATGAAGGGGGATGCTATGGGGAAAGGCATCCAAACCAGTGCTGGAGAGCAATAGTCTAGCGGGCTGCGGAGACCGTAGCTCCCTCCTGCCAACATTATGCCCCAGGTGGTTTCAAGACCAAAGGCTAAGAGGGAAGGGCACATCTGCAGGAACTCAAATAGTAAAGGGTTTCTTACTCGGGAAGCAGAAAATACTCATCCTGAAGGAAAAGGTTGACAAGCTCACTGGACTGAAATCAACGTTGCCTAAGAAAACAGACAAACAGGCACCAAGGCTGTCCTATGGAATCCCTGATTGTTCTATTCAAATTGTTCCGGGTCCTGAGGAACAGGGAGGAAGACTGACGCAACCTGGGGGGATAAGGGGACTCGATGACCCTCTGCAAAGTGACTCCTGCACTGGATCCCCCAAAATGGAAAGCCCCATGGGAGACGCTCTGGGGAAACTCAAAGAATATCTGTATTTTCGTTCATGGAATCACTTAGTGTCAACAATGTACCTCGGTTATACAAAACATTTAATATTAGGGGAAGTTGAATAAAATCTATCCAGGAACTCTTCTTATTTGCAACTTTTTCGTGAATCTATTATGATTCCAAAAGAGAAAGTTTTTCAAAAGTTCAGGAGAATGAAGTTGGTCATTATACTGGAGGCTTTTAAAATTCCAAATATCTGACATAAAATTTTTGATTGTTCAGACAACCATCTCAAAGGCATAATCTTGGGGCCAGAGCAATAGTATAGTGAGTGGGGCACTTGCCTTGCAGGCAGCTGACCCAGCATCTCATAAGGTCCCCAGGACTTCCAGGAGTGATTCCTAAGTGCAGAGCCAGGAGTAACCCCTGAGCACCACTGGGTGTGATCCAAAAGCAAACCCCCAAAATCAGAGATATTCATCTTGAGGGGTAGAAGAGAGCACAGCAGGTAAGGTGTTTGCCTTGCACTCAAGCCTATGGGGTTAGATTTCTAGCCCCATAGGGATCCCCACCCCCACCCCCGAGCCCCATCAGGAGTCATCTCTGAGCACAGAGTCAGGAGTAAACCCTGAGCACAGCCAGGTGTTTCCCTCCCTCCCCACCCTCCAGTAATTTGTCTCAAACATTTGTTTCCTGTGTGAATCATCCCTTAAAGACCTGAGGTCTTCCACCCTTGAAATGTCCCTTTTAAGAAATCCCTGAATGATTTGCAGAACTGTGTTTTTAGGGAAGGAACCCACTTTCTTTCTCGTGTGAATCCCACTTCTGTTTGCAACTCACCAATAAAAAGTGAACTTCTGAACTCCAGGAATTCCACCCTCGGTCCCAGGAAAGGCAGAACCCAAGTTTTCTCTTCCTTTCTCCCACGGTCCACACCCCCAGCCTCACTGTGTGGCCCCAGGCTTGCTGCACAGCCAGTGAGTAATAAACCTTGTCTGCTCAAAGTTCCCTGAAGGATGTTGCTGAAATGCATCTTCCGATCATAATAAAGAACCCAATGATGCACCTCTGTGATCTTGGAGAGGAGAAATGTCTGGGGTGAAGCATAGTGGGGGGTTCCACCCTGAGGCGCTAGGGGCCCTGGTAAGGGCCTTGGACATTCTAACTTATAGCCTCACTAGCAATATTCTGAGAGCAGTTCCTAACTTGCAGTTAAGTGGGCAAAGAGATGGGAAATGGTAAAGTCCAAGCAATCCGCCTCCTAGAAGACCACATAGAACACTGCATTCCCGCAAGGAGGCAGAGATTTCTGAAATGGAACCCAGAGGCACCCAACCATACAGGAAACAAGGGCCATTTGGCCGTCTGTGGATTGGGGTTGCTCGCTTCCAGCTCTCTAGAATGTTCTAAGTGATAGTCTTCATACTTTGCCTAGTAATTTTAGATATTCCTGGCTAGACGGGTTTCTCTTGGCTCCATCTGCTGTGCTGCTCCAAATGGAAACCAATATCCAGACATTATTTTTAGGATTCTGTCAACCTTATTTGAAGCGGAACTACATAGGATTGACTTTTTTTTTTTCTTCAAATTTACCGGAGGCCATTTATTATTCTGGAATCTTTTTTTGGCTTGAAAGACTGGGAAGGAGAAAGTTTTGTTTTCCAATCCACTGGATCATATAAAGAACAACTAGATGAAAATAAATGCCAGCAAGTCAAGAGTCAGTCATATGAACGCTGACCTTTTAGGCTTAACCGATTACTTCCAGGGCAAGTCAAGACCTAAATAATCCAAGACCATTCTTGCCTGCTTTGCTGCATCTGAAGCAAACTCCCAAGTTTCTGTTTTTAGAGATGCCACTTGAGACCACGCTTTTTCCCCCTTTGTGTGTGTGTGAGTGTGTGTGTGTGTGTGTGTGTGTTTGTGTGTTCTCCTGAACTTTTCTGTCAGGGGGCTCCCCACTCGCCTGAGCCCCTCATCGTGACATAATCTCACTTTATTTAATTCTGTTTAAGGGCCAGGAAGAGAGAAGGGCTGGAATGCATGGGGTTAGAGCCCCAGGACCTCATGGTCTCCCAAGCACTGTGGGGTGCCGCTCTAGTGCCCCCCCACCCCTGCCAAACAACCAAGATACAACTCAAGCAGCAGATGGCCTGTCCCGCTGCTTGCTAGCACCTTGCGTTCGATGCAGTGCGGGGCGCAGGTGCGGGTGCCAGGAAAAATAGCAGGAAACGCACAACAATCCTGTCTCTCTTTCCTCCCCAGCTACGTGAAGAACTATCTGCGCACGTTTCTTTCCTCTGCCGACAGACACTTCATGGTGGGCCAGAAAGTCATCATCTACGTCATGACGGATGACCTGGCCGGTGCGCGCTGGGAGTCCCCGGGTCTCCAGCGCACCGTCCGCGTGTTCCCAGTCGAGCGCCAGCAGCGCTGGCAGGACATCAGCATGATGCGCATGAAGACCCTCAGCGAGCACATCGCCGCCCACATCCGGCACGAGGTGGACTTCCTCTTCTGCATGGACGTGGACCTGGTCTTCCAGAAGGACTACGGGCCGGAGGCCCTGGGAGAGTCCGTGGCCCAGATCCACGCTTACTGGTACAACAGGAACCTGGCCCTGTGGCCGTACGACAGGAGCCAGTGGTCGGCCGCATCCATGCCCAGTGGGGAGGGGGATTTTTATTACCACGCGGCGGTGTTTGGGGGCACCCCGCAGCGCGTGCTCCACCTCACCCGCACGTGCTTCCAGGGCATCATGAAGGACAAGGAGAACAACGTCGAGGCGGTGTGGCACGATGAGAGTCACTTAAACAAGTATTTCTTCTTCCATAAACCCAGTAAACTCTTATCCCCGGAATACTGCTGGGATTTCCGTTTAAACAAGCAAAGTGATGTTAACGTCATCAAGGTGTACTGGGCTGTTAAGAACTTAGCGGATACTCATGGACAACCAACCTTTAGGCAACCTCCTTCAGTGCTTCTGGAGTAACAAACACCCCCCCCCTTTGTCTTCTGGGCTGGAAAAGGAGCACCTGAATTTTCTATTTAAAAAGGAACCCCCCCCCCACACACACACACATGAGAGGGGACGCCCCCCCACCACCAGCATTGACTCAGACTTCTCTCCCATCCTTTTGGGTGGAGAGTGGTTTCAGGTGTTAGGGGAATTTCATGTCTTGGATCACACTGAACAGAATAGAATCCAGCACAAGATGAGGAAACTACGAAACCTGAGAAAGTGTTCATCAAGTGGCTACCCTTTGATGGCATGGTTTAAAAAAAGGTGTTGTCCAGGTGATCCAAGGGCTCGAGGTCCTGGGTACCATCCCTGGTATCACCTAACTACCTGAGTGCCTGAATGTATTTTAAATCTGGAATGAATGCAAAATAAAGCATATTAGAATTATAAAAAGTCACAGACACAAAATGAATAAAAGTTGGGGGATGCATGACCTTTAATTGAATGTATCAATCTTCCCATGAATGGGTGGGAAGGAATGGGGTGTGTGGGGGGAGTTGAGCAGGGAGGGATGAGGACCACCCATCTGGCCGCCACCCAGTCCTACAACTTGCTTTAACCCCTCAGGATCTTTGCATTTTTATCTCTCAAATAGAAAAAACCTCCACCGAGAAATGGGTGTGGAATCACGATCATAAATCAAAGGTTTCTGTTAGGAAAATAAAGAAAGAACAAAAGTGATCTCTGAAGTGAGAATTCCGTGGATGAGTCTCATTTTTTACCTTGCACTTTTAGGTGCTTGAGTTTTGTGGTGTGGAAATGTGTTATTTCTCTGATCAGGAAATAAGGACCTTAAATGAATTAGAAGAAAGCCCCAGGTAGGATTATCTGTGCCCAAGATAACTTGGAAAAACCCCGAAAAAGGATGAAGCAATAGATCTCTCTCTCTTTTTTTTTTTGGCTGGAGTGATAGCACAGTGGTAGGGCGTTTGCCTTACAAGCGGCCAACATGGCCAACCCAAGTTCGATTCCTCCGCCCCTCTCGGAGAGACCAGCAAGCTACTGAGAGTATCTTGCCCGTAGGGCAGAGCCTGGCAAGCTACTTGTATTTGATATGCCAAACACAGTAACAAGTCTCGTGATGGAGACGTTACTGGGCCCGCTCGAGCAAATCGATGAACAACGGGAGGACCGTGACTGACCATGACTGGGAATCTTAGGTCTCGCCTGCACACTCCCAGCACATCACTCAAAATCCGTCTCCGTAAATCACAGGGGCCCAGGAGATGGCTCCAAGGGCCGAGTGTGGGTTTCACATACTGGAGTGCCCACTTTCAGCCCTGGCACTGCTGGAAGCCACCTCTGAGCATAGAGCCGGGAAGAACCCCGAAATACTGCTGGACATGGCCCCAAGCCTCAGAATTAAAATAAAAGGGAAGGATAGCAAAGGATATGAAAAGCCAATTCTTAGTTTAATCTCCTAATCTTTCAAATGGGTAAAAAAGTTCTGTTATCCAAGAGCAGTGAAATAGTACCCAAAATGTATCATTATGACTTTCTAGTTGCTTTCATCATGAAATGAGATATCACTGATCAGAAAAGTTTCAAATACCAGGAGAAATGCCTAATTTTTATTTGTTTGGGTTTTGTTTCTTTTACAAAGAATCAACAATGCTCAGGAAATATCCTACAACTTCTCTTACATCAGGACACTAAGTATGCTTTCTGGGAAGGGATTGTACCCAATTTTATTTGCTCTGACAAAATTCCAGCTAGGGGTAATCCCCAAACCTTGGCATCACAAAGTCTGAGGCCAAATATGCCTTGCATATTTGATGCCGTAGGCTTAATCTTATAAAACTAGTAATACAAGATGGCAAGGAAATTGTTTTACTTTCTAAAGAAAATTCTTTTTTTCCCTAGCAGAGAATGAATTCTAAATGGAAATTTATTTTATTGATTTTACTTGCTTTAGTACTGACATTGATGCTTCAGCATCATCTCAGGTACTCGTAGATCACTGAATCATTAGCTTTAAGAACTGGCAGAGTTGATAGAAAGTGAGTTTTGTCAAAAGTATATGGATAAGCACTCCTTAAGTTAACCATCGATTATTTGATTTATTGGGAAAAATAAATCATAAACATATGGATGCCTTCATTTTTCAACATTCAGCAAATATTTACAGTGTAGCTTGTCAGTATCAGGTCCTGTTCTAGGTGTCAGGAAAACAATAATGACCCCAAGTGAGGACTCCTATGAAGACAATGAGCAATAAAGAAAGAAATGTACTGTCAGGGGCATTGCATTATACAGACTAATTATAGAAAGAAAGATAAGGCATAAACAAGAATTGGGGCTATTTAATATTGATGTTGAAGCCAGAGAGATAGTACAGTAGGGAGGGTGTTTGGTTTGCACACCATCGATCTGGGTTAGATTCCTTGCACTCCATAGGGTCTCTGGAGCCTACAGGAGTGATCCCTGACCACAGAGACAAGAGTGAGATCTGAGCATAGCTGGATGTGGCCCCAGAACAAAACAAGCAAAAAGATTGGTGTTAAACAACATAAAATTTTCATCTCATAGGAACAAGACTCAAAGCAACCAACCAGTGATAGAATCCTGCTTGCACTAGGGAACAAATTGATTACTCTTTTAACATCCCTCATTGAAAAAAGATTCTTTTCTCTCCCCTGCCTTCCTCCTTATGGTCTCTATATGCATGTGCAGTGCTATATCAAGGGAATTATTATCACCTAAAATTTTACCCTAATTATAAGTCAGGGGGAAAGACAAGCACCAGATGGTTTTACTCATGTGTGGAATAAAAAGAGGTAAAGCAGGACCAGGAATATAGTTTAGCAATTGAACTTGTCTTGCAAAGTGTATGCAATGTGTGCGTAGAAGTGGGGGGATAGCTTAGGGAGAGAGGAAAGGGGCGATAGGAGAGGTGAGGGAGAGGAGAAAGGAAGAAGAAAAAAAGAAAGACAAAGATCAAAACAGAGCAAACCCTTGAAGTCTGACTTCAGAGCTGAGACTTAGAGTGGCTATTATAAATGATGGTTATCATTTTTGCCTTGGTGGTCTATGAAATATTTCTCCTATTTTTACAGGCCCGCAGGTGTGAAATGGTTGAAAACCTCTGACCCAGGAGACCAATGCATGTGGCAGACAGGTTAGGGCACTTGCGTCTCAGGCTGCTTGTTTAATCTGATTTCTTCTCTTGACCTTTACAGAGTCCTTTTTTTGGGTACAGTTTATGTGCAAGGTCCTAGCTCTTAGCTCTCTGTGGTAGAAATAGAGAAAAATCAAGGCTGTTTCATCCTTCTTGAGGCACAGGTTGCTCAAAAGTATTCTTATTTCACAAAATCTGCCCTGTTTATGAAAGAAGTTCCCTCATGCCCTGTAGGATAGCATTGGTTTGTGCTTTCTCCTCTGCCACAAGTTTAGGTTTACTGAGTAATACCCATCACAATGCTCCTGAAGCACCTCCATTCCTCTGTGTTTATTGAAATGTAGCTCTAAACATTTTAGGATAACATTGGTATGTCCTGTTTCCTTGCCACAGGGAGCTTAGGCTTATCACAGTGCTCCTGAGTCACTCCCATTCCTCTGTGTTTATCTGTAAACTCTTCTCTGTGGTCTCTTCCCCAACTGCTCTATCACTGGGGAAATCAGACTCTGTTAACATATAAGGTCAGATTCCTCAGAAATCTATGATTTTTTATTTGTGAATAAAATGTTTCTTTTTCCTTCTCTTATATCCTTTTGCACAGTTTACTTTAAAGCAATGTTCTTTTTGTATAGACACAGGAGTACAGTTGATATTATGCTATTGTAACTTGGGAGTTAATTGACTCCGAATAATATTGACTCCTGGGCTTCTGCTTCCTCGACTTAAGCCTCAGTTGCCCTTAGTTCCTTGCACCCCAAAAGCAGGTCCCGACAAGGAACTGAATGGACCCAGGGCAAACTGTGAGCTATCTTGGCATTGAAATGAGCCAGGTCAAGTGCCATAATACTTAACTATAAGTTAAGAGCATGGTCATAGACAAATTCTGTCATGATCCAAAAAGTAACAACTGAATTAGGACCCTGCTAGGGTTAGGAAAGACTAATCTGGCCTAAGCACTGTAGTCTGAGTTCTATAGTGAGATACCCTCCAAGAAAGCCAACCTATAAACTTAATGTATCTCTTACTGAGTCTATATAAAATGACTAATATTATAACTGTTTATACGTTTGTTGGTCTAAGGAGAGGAGAAACACACCCATATTTTGCCCTTCAGCTAGTTGTCTTGCTAGAATCTGTCCTAGAAGCTTCCCCTGAGGGAAGGACCTTATATGCGTTGATTGTATGACAATACCTTTGTGTAATTGCTACACCAACCCCTCATGATTTGGGATTTAAGGAAGGCTGTAAGAGTGGACTGGGGGAGGCTGAAGCAGGAAGAAGAAGTATGAAGGGACAGAATCCAAGAGGAGGATGAGGGGGATTGGGAAGGGGAAAATCAGGGGGAGAATCAGGAGAATCCAGGAGGAGAATCAGAGGAGAATGGAGATGAGATTGGAATAAACTGCAATTGATACCAACCAGCCTGGCCCTCGTTCCTTCCTTCGCCATCTTCCGTCTCCAAGTGCAGGAAGCGATGGAAACCACCAAATGCAGGTGGTGAGAGAGAGAGAGAGAGAGTCATCGCGGCCCTTCACATTTATTTTTTTTGATACATAATACCCTACTTGGGCTGGAGCGATATCACAGTGGTAGGGCGTTTGCCTTGCACGCAGCCAACATGGCCAACCCGAGTTCGATTCCTCCGCCCCACTCGGAGAGCCCGGCAAGCTACCGAGAGTATCTTGCCCGCATGACAGAGCCTGGCAAGTTCCCCGTGACGTATTCGATATGCCAGACACAGTAACAACAAAGTCTCCAATGGAGACGTTACTGGGCCCGCTCGAGCAAATCGATGAACAATGGGAGGACAGTGACAATACCCTA